GGTAATATGAAATAGGGAATAAACAAGAAAGATTGATTACTGTACAGGATCATTTAAGTCGTATATGTTAGGAGGGATATATTCATAAAAATCGAATAAAATACGGCTAAATAATTTCATTTTTATTTGAATGCGAACCCGTTACACCACAGATATCGGGAAATGAATGATACATGCAAAGTTATATTCCATCTGAAGACATATTTGGTGCCCGAATGTTCAAAACGTAATATAGGTTCATCTTATAAGAGCCCTTCCTTAGCCTTTGACTAGAATTCCTATCCATATGGCAGCTGAGCTAAGTCAGTAGCTGCATCCCAACGGTTTCAAGTAATTAAAGCAGTGTCCATTGAGATCTCAGAGCGCAGCTGAATCAGCTGTTTTGAATCACAGTTTCCAGCGTCCATTTTTCAACTCCGCATGTTTATCAACGTGTTACTGAGAAAACGTCATTCACCTTCACCCTTCCACTTTTCAAAAACCTATTACTAGTTACTTAAAGGCAACGAATAAGGTTTATCTGGTAAACATTACCAAACAGTACATACATGAGATCCTTTCGAGGTGAAGATCAAGACTAGAATAATATGCTCAGACTTAGTGAAACGATATTCATACTGAAGTCCTATTTTTGTGTGTTTCCGAAGCGATTTTCAAGCCAAAATGGTTATACTATCGATAAGTGTGCAATCGCTTGATCAGATTCTGTTGAGTCTATTGTGAGGGAGATTTGGTGTGAATGATTTCTGTTTCTGAATATTATTCTACCTCAAAAGTAGAACAACTTCTTTCCGGTTTTCTGCAAACTGTTACAACCTTCGTTTATCCCTTAACGACAACAAACCTATCTTCAAAATGAATTGAATATTTTAACTGTGCTCCAACTATGTGTTTTGAAATATTATCCTTTTTTACTAACCTTTTTCCTCAGAAATCCATCACTTAAATGGCTTTTATTAAACTTATATTTTCATAATTTTTACATCAGTGGTTGAACACGTAGATTAATGATCAAATAGTCTGAAGGATACTAGTGTGACTTCATTAAACTGTTCAACTCAACCCAAAGCCATTAACGAAACCTACTATTTAAGGTGTGTGAATTTGATAAATAGCATTTTCTCGTTCAAAAGGGAAATATTTTGGCAGTGTCACCTAAATTTCCTTTATATATTTAGTTCCCTTGGATAACACAAGAGAATGACTTTTGCAGGATAAACTGATGAATAGAAAAAGCACTTCAAAGCTACTAAGAATTACTGAAACTATGACCATGCGAAGAGTGAAACCTGTATAATATGTACGAGAAGAGAATGTTACTAACTTATTACTTACTAACTTGGTGAACACTGACGATGTCACCTTGACTCATTGAGATTTTATTTTACTTTTTGCTAATAGTAATAATATGTCTGTTATACTTGACCTCTTTCACTTTGGTTGAATGACTTTCCACATGAATAGGTAATCGTCTTCACTTATGCGTAAAATTACCTAAAATTTCCAGAAAATTCTTCCCTTATTACTAAATAGTGTTTCTATTTTGGTTATAATCTATGGATATTCAGCTAGAATATGTCTAAATTATGTCACATTGACTGCTTATGTAGTTCTCATTCAGCTTGTACTCAGATGAAGAAGACCCTATGAAACTGAATGAATTCATCTTACAATGCAAAAGGTATTCTTATTGCGTTACTGACATTTTTTTCAAGAGGATTTGAAGTATTTAAAAAAATGCAAGGTAGGCCTGTTATTAATATTAATTCCGAGAGTTGCTGAAGGTTTACAATCCATTTTGTATTTTTAATGAGGAATTTTGAGAAAGACAAAAAGGATAAAGCAGTGAGAAAAATACTTTCAAACGGATGAAATAGCCTACTTTCTGTCGTTTTGCACCATTCCACTAGAGGTGAACATTTTACTTCTTATCAAGTCTGGATATGCGGCATTGTTCTCTAATTAAACACTTGAAATTCAGTTAAAATACATGACAGTTTTCTATAATTCTGAGCACCTTTTGCTACTGAGTAACAGTTGATCAGTAAGTGTATTAAAGGTTTTTAAGAGACTGAAAGCCTCTATTTTTTCCTCTGTCTTGTAGTCACCCCTTATCAATACATTTTGATTGTACTTTCTGAATTAGTTTTTACAACCTGAACTTGTCAAGCAGTTAGTACTGTAAGTTGTTTCAAAAAGCACCTGAAGAATTACTATGATGTATTTCAACATTTTTTTCTAAAATCTTTCATGGGAATAAATTTTAAACAGTTTTTGAGTAGATTTTGAAGTTATTAACACCATGTCTACCTTTTACGTTTGTTTTCAGAGAGTTGATGTTGATCATAAAAACCGATCGCTGTAGTTAACAGTGGAATATAATTAAGATGTTTTCTATTGCATATACAACTGATTGGGAATTAAACTCTGAATTTAGAGTCACAGAACTGCAGGATAATTTATATAAAGTAGTAAGTTTTCACTAAAAGTCTCATATTTGTTTAGCAGAATCTTAAAATCAGATAGCACTACACTGTTCTATTGAAGATTAATCCTACTTATTGGCTTAGTATAAAAACTCTACTTTCAAATTACGTCATGTTTAGCTAATGGGTGCTTTTTCAAAGCATATTTGCAAGAAAAAGTCAATGAGATTATTTTATGACATGATCTTTATTGGTGAATCTTTTCCTATCAGTTCTATATCACATTCTTTTCGCTTTACATCTACACAGATCTTGATAAGAAAAAAACAACATAAAACAGAATATTGATGATGATGAAGATAATAATAATAATAATGTTTCTTAATTGATGTGGTTTCTAATGTTGTATTAGTTTTAAGACAACTTTACAAAAATTACATTTTTGACGATGGAAGGTAAAGAATTACTAAAGCACTAATTAAAAAGCTTTGGAAGTTATGCAGAACGTCGTGAAACACCATACTCAAAGGCACTCAAAATGGTTTTACTAAAGAATGCGCAAATAAAGCCCCACTATTTACAAGACACTAAATCCTGTGATCTAAATGATATCTGAACGCCAAATGAAAAGTATTCTGTTGAAATTCCAAGCAAAAGTCACTCACTTCCAGACTAAAAAAGTACACCTACAGTCATCATTCATACCTTTTTGTTGTTCATATGACGTGAGTCAACTTATTTTTTTAAAACTGTCTACTCACTTAAAGTTCAAACTTAACACTGAACGCCATCAATTCACATGCAGTAAAAATGTAACCACAACCGAAAAATGAACCAGAGCTGTATCTTGAGGAGGTTAGAGTAAATAAAAGAGAATTTTTTTCAGAGAATTTCAAATGAGCTTAATTTTGCCAGGCTACCCAACAACCAAAGACGGAGACCAAAAATGGGTGTTTTTCCTTTCTGCAGACTTCATAGGATGCTGTGACTTGTTTTGACAGAATAGTATTTAGAATTGCACAATTGATTCTAATTTCCGGCAGTTTCAAGATTTTTAGTTAAATGGTGATCTACTTCATTATAAAAAAATCCAAGATACCAGTTGAACAGTGTATTATAAGGCAGGTCTTCTGGAAAGTGAATAGTATACAGCTTCATTTCAAATCTCATCAAATTACTTCTCCTTGGGAATCAATAAGTGTCATTTCTGAACATAAATTTTGCTTAGTGCGAAACTGTTAACCTTCATTTAAAACTACCTAACTGCATCTATGAAACAAACACACACAAATGAACAGATGTATTACATATCCAAATACATGAAGTAAATCTCAGCTGTATTTGCGGTAATCAGTTCAAGTAATAATCATGTAATTACTTAAAGATGAGTGTGAGTTTTCCACCTAGAACTCGAGAAAATGCTCGAAATTGGGTTTTTATTCTGTCGTAACATTTGCCTCTATGCATTGTTATTATCGAAAAATAAAAATGAAACAAAGTGACATGACTGCTAGCATTCAAGTCGCAACAGAAAATTATCCTGCTTTTATTTCTCATAGACAATAGGCCAATTCTAGTGGCAATTCATACCTAACAGAAAAGATATGTTACTTGATGCAAATTTAATTAAGATTATATAAACTATTCTACTCCTTACTGTATAACTTTTAGTTTATAAATTTTAACAGAACTGTGTTAATAAAGCTGAGTACAAATTCAACGAATTTTCAGTTCTATAAGGTTTTGTCTCTTGGCTTTATGTGAGGATCCCAGTCTGCGTAACTGATTAGATTACAACAGAAACATCCCACAAAGCTGGGTGTTTGAATGCTAATAAATATATTTGTTAAATAATATAAATCAGTTAGCAAAAATGCGTCATTTATGGAACTTTTGGCATCCAGAATAACATTCTGACTAAAAGTTAACATGAATTCTATAATACAATAGTTAACAAAATGCTCTTCTGAGAGAAAATAATTTCTAGAACGCGTTCATATCACTCTGTTTCACATTTGCGATGTTTGAGTACTGCTGTCCTCTTTAAAAGTATTACTTACTATCGATTTAGCAGTTAGAATAGGTGTTCTTGACTCTTTAGACTCGAAATTTACTCCTGAGAATAGTAATGAGTGTTAATTAGTCAACACTCTTTACAAAGAAGTGATATTCTGTGGTTTTCTAGTAACCTCAGCTTAAAAATATTAGCAACATTAGCAGGTTAGTATAGATATTTGTTAGCATTTACAGGGAAAGGTGTTATATTCAGCTTCAGTAACTGGGTGCAAAACAAAGGCATGCACCATGACTGGAACGAAACTTTTATTCTGACCTTTGATTCCACCAACTTCTAATCATCTCTCATCACAAGAGCCTTCTTTGATGACTAGATTCTTCTGGTGATCAAAATGCAACAAGTGAAGATGGCGTTAACCTGTAATGTCAGTTAAAGTGATAACTTTTCTCCTGTATGAGAATTAAACCTGTATCCCACATTAACATATATATCACCTAATTAGTGAAACACACATGTCGGGTAATTATTTGAAATAATGTTGGTTACTATTAACTTACCTCACGGAATTTGACCATAGCTTTGGCGATTTTATCATCTGGAGGTATCCAAGTAAAGCGTATTTCACGACGATAGCACTGCAAAACAAATTTCCCAGGAAGAGAGTGACACTGAAAGGGTTTCACGATGAGTAATGGTGGTTTAGGCACATCATCTTTAGGGAACTGGAAATCCTCAACTTCTGTCTGATTTGAATTGGATAACAATACTGTTAAATTGGCACTTGGCATTATGGTTGTGATTGTACTATCCATTTTATCGGTGGATTCCGTGTATTGCATGTCTGTAAAATATAATCTTTTGTCCTGTAGACTAACCAGAATTTCAGTTTCTATATTTTCTAGATTGGAGATTCCGCGATGTTCTAAATAAATTTTCACTATGAACGGTTGAGGATGCCAAATTGATCTGAGTTCTTCAACTGTGCATTCGGTTAAAATGTACTGATTACTTAAACAAGTTAAATTTGATACTGTAGTCGAAGAACAATGGTCAAAATCTCTGTCATTGAAACTACAATCTAGAGTATTGGAGAAAGTAGAAGTTCATTTAAAAGTTTATGAAAACCAAAGTGATGAATGTATATCCTTTTTTTGTTATATATAATCCAGTTTGGAATATTTTAGCAGAACCTAGTTAAAACCTTTTGTTTCAGCTCAAAACCATAGTGCCCAATCGATCTGGTGGATATTGTTTGTGTAAATGCGGATTCATATATACACATGTATATGTGCAGGAAAAGTAAACAACTTCAGAAAACGTCAGCACATAGAATAGGCTGCCTACAAAGCAAACTATATAAGCTCTAGGTATCGTAAAATAAATTGGATAGGGAAGTAATATATATTTAAATAAATAATTATGACCTACAAATATTCTGATAGGTTACTTAATAGGCAACATGTGATTCATCTTTATTCAGAAAATCCCAGAAATATGAACATTTTCATCAAGGAATTTCAGTGCATTATTGTATATCTCTCAGTACACTAAATTCGTATGTGTGAACAGGCAACGTGTTTTTGTATACATGGTTACACAGACGTGCGTACGTGTGCAAATATAGGCTTTTCTATAAGGACAAGAAGCCAGCCTATTAAAACGCATATGAACATCTGCCTACCTGCTAGAGTGAATGTCTTGGGCACAAAGATGTTAGTGTTACAAACAGGTCAGATGATGGTGATGAATGTCTGTTATGTGTTTGCCTTAAATCTGTTTGTTTTCCTATTATGAAAAAAGCTTTAAAAAAATTTCAGCTGGTTATAGTCAGCAACATTGGAAGCAATAACAATCTTCACTATTCTGATCTTATTCATTGTGTTTCAGTTGTCAGATTTAGTCACGAACCAGCATCATAAAAGGTATTGGTTAGAGTTGATTAGAATTCACGGGTCACTGAGTGTTCCAGCCCAAGTGGCTGAATACTCAACCAGCTTTGTTTCCTAATCTAGAGGTCACAGAATTTATCCTTGTTTGGGATTACGGGTGCAAACTCTTTAAGAGTTTCAAAAAAGTAATAAACAGCTTCCCAATACTCCGTGGTTTTCAATGATCTCCCTAACTGATGTTGGTTCTTGAGGAAATCTAAAGATCGAAGTTAAATTAACCCCAATCTAAATTACCCCTTGTATCTCGTATACACTACTGAGGAACAGCTTAGATAATTTAACAAGCCGCATAAAATCAAATCACCTTGATTATTTCCACGTTTTGTCGGTAAGTGTTTGTTTAAAAAGCAACGCTATATGACCAAAGTGCACCAGTGAAATGATAAAGTATGAATTTACGGGTAGTTTTAAACTCATATCATAGTGGCTGTAAAGCCAGTGATGAACTGTCTTTAAGTCTGATGAAATTGAAGCAAATACGCTGAAACATTTGATATTATTCTTTAAAGTAAAAGCCTAGTGCAATATCTTTCATTTATTGAAAGTCTGTATTAATTTTCTCACTGAAAGTCATTTTTATGTTATGAATGTCAGGTTTATGTTATCTTTTCATTTACTACAGTTCAATCAACGATCGACCTCTATAATAGCTATTTCGTGTACTTTCCATTCTAACCAATTATGTGATGATAATTATTAGCTCATATGTAGCAATCTTTTCTCTGAAATTCCTACAAACTATGCATGCATACAAAAAGGTGAAAGATAACCTAATCTTCCATTGAGCAATGAGAGTCGGAACTGTGTAATTATAGCTTCTGTCTCATTCATCGTACTAAATGGCAACCCATTTAACTGGTTATTATCACCCAGCGTTTTGTTGTAGGTGGGTGCGAGAAAGCACCAGATTGAAGTTTTGTCCTCACCACTAACCATAGTGAAGAAATATGCAAACGTTGAATGCCGTATGAGTGAGAATTACCCTCCATGGCAATACTGATGCATGCAAATGATAAAGCCGGCAAAATTTTACTTGTATTGCTGTCACACCATCAGTGAATGTATTTGGTGTAGCGTATTATATTTTCACTGAGCTAAGCTTTTTGTCGTATGCTTATTTTCCACAAAATATTTATGTAACATAACCAACCGGTTGGTTCTCTTGACCAAAACGCAAATTATCCATTTTAAAGATATATTAATAAGAAAAACTACTGGTCGAGTGAACTAATCACAAGTAATTTGAATCATGGGAAATGTCACAGTATAGTAGGAAAATTTGTGCAAATTTTTATCTCATTACAGTCTGATTAGACTGTTTTATTTAGACTTAGAATTTCGCTTCATAGGCATAATTTATTTTACCTATACAGTCTAATTCTGAAACTATGCAAACGATTTGCAGCTCAGTTGGATGTTTATAAAGTTAGCGCAAGAGATGTTTTCTAGAAGGACAATGAATGCTTCTCAATAAAGCCTTTCACAGTAGAGAACATAGTAAAAAAGACTACATAAGGTTCGTTCACTCCGTTATCCTCATGCTAAGGTCTAAAATGTGCATTGATTCAGGAAAATACTGTACTTAAAGAATCTAAAATATTGTTTATTTTTATGTGTTGTAGGGATTCATTGACTTCAAAAACGCTTATGTCAACCTAGAGAACCAGTCCAGATAAGTAGGAAACAGTAACAGATGTTCACTTCAGACAATATTAGTTCTGCTTAGTCACAGGCTATCTCGGGTTAGACATTTCGGTATTTTCAATTTCAACCAAAGGATTGCTGTTAGATGTGACTGTCTTAAATCTCATTTTCTATTAGATTGTTCACCTTTATTATTTTATTTATTATTTTGATTTACAGCTTGATTCCACACTGTATTTTCAGTACAAGTATGGAATTTTCAGCATGGATATCGGTAGTCCAAATTCAGGCCGACCATAGATATCGGGTGTGCGCCGGCAGGGGATCGAACCCCGGACCATGTGCATGGTCGGCGAGAGTCCTAACCACTGTGCCACCGACGCACTTTCAAAAATGAACAAAATATCTGTTAACGATTGCATGCTTTTTAGTTTGTTCTACCTGGGTTCAATACTACGTTAGATATATTTTTGTGTGTTAAAGTCAATTATAACATAAGAATGCTGAAATTCTACACTATGAACACTAGGAAACAACAGTTGATTGAAAACAAAGAATATTTTACAATCAAATGGTTGGGGTGAGCTCAAAATCAATATGAGTTCCACTATTCTCCTGTAACTCGAAAAGGATTAAATCTTTTGTCGTGATGATATTAATTTGGTTACAGTCACTGAGCTAGATGACTTAATTGAGAAGCTTTCATTGTCTTTCTAGGCATCCTGAGAGCTGCTGTCAAGATGCGAGGTTCTTAATAACCCGTCCTGATGAACTTGAATATGATTCGTTTTCTCCAGAGATTGCTTTATCTCACAACCGATGAATTGAGTCATACTGCTGTGTGACCAGAATGTCAATGAATCGTTGATGAATGTAAACACCGCTCAAGGATAAGCATGAAAAATGAAATAAGTGTTTGACTAGTAATTTCTTAATATCATTTACAAAATGCATTGCAGTATTAGGCTTGGATAACTCACTGCCAAACCAAGCAAGCAAAACTGTACAAATCTAAGTACGCAGAGGTGGAATTCAGCTTATATCGTTTGATTTGTTCAACATATATGAAGACGAACTAGATTTTGTCTGAATTAAATTTAGCATTTCGTGACTAATTTATCTTGCTTTACTGCATAGAATATTCACTGAATCTGAAAGGTATGTTATTGGATGAAAGTCGATACAGGTAGAGAATAATGTCAAAAGATCTCTCTTAGATTTAAGAACAAGTGATCTTGAATTTTTTTTTCATTTGTTTACGAGACACTGATGATTTATATGTTTACGAATTAAAATTTGTTTTATAAAGTATTCAGTTTTCTGTGTCTTGCCTTCACTGCATGAAATATATCTGTCAATAATGCATAAAGTCTACACAACAAGTTGTAAGCCTGAAGACAACGCTTGTGTTTAACCTAACATAAAAGCTTGTTAGACAACTATGCAGTGCTACGCAACAGGTAGACCATCAAATGAAGTGTACCAGTGACCAATAAGTCTGGTTAAACACGACAGTTAACATCTTAGAGAAGTGTTTAGAGACCATCTACATTTTAGAAAGAGAATTGAGAATCACACAGTTTTTGAATACCTAGAGGGAATTTTACTTGATCTACATTCCGTCTTAGGAAAATATAAGATGAATCACACACGTTGCTACTAGGTTAGCTTGTTTTAGGACATCAAAATTGATTCCCTCACAAGTACCAACCACTAGTTGGGAATACAAAAAAATGCTGGACTACCAATATATATATTTATATATAAAGAGACAGAGAGTAGCTGAAGGTATCACAGTTCACCCAAAGTAGCTTAACCTATGTGTTCAGAAGAAATCCGTACTGTTAATCTCCCTATCTTGCCCATAAGAAATCAGACAATCTCCCCATCTCACTTAGCCATTCACTAGTTGTTATTTGTTTCAGCTGTCTTTAATTTCCGCATTATTTTACCCTTCAATTTTACTTGATAATCAACTCCATATTACATATGTGCATATTACCACAATCACATACACATGCATTTGAATTGTTATCTGTTAGTCTGAACGACTCGATATTATTCTAAAAACAGAGGTGCTTTCAATGACAATTGCTCTCTAACAATTACATGTATATAACTGCAGAACCTGATGAAGTTATCAAAAGGGATATTCTTTTCTCAACCTTTTTGTCCTCGAAATGTCCAATAGTTTATAAGTTCACTCAGGCAAGTCGGTGGCATTCCGGTGATCAGTTGGATGTAGTTCTTTTTCAGTGTTACCCTATGAACCAGTTTAATATGTATTAAATACATGCTACTGTATGCATTTCGCCAAGAAGCCACTGTAGCGAAATCTATTACGGATGAGACACGAAAACATGGGGAACTGTAATTTGATAACTAAGTTATATTGTTAAATCATTTTACATAAACGATCTTCATTTCTTCCAATGTGATTTCACCGAATTGTAACTGATACTCTGAAAATGCATCGAGGAATGCA